AGCATGGCTTCTTCTCCAGCCATGTTCTGAATGGACTGCCAACGAGTCTTGGAACGCTTCCCTGAGAATGCCACAGCAGGTCGTTGGGCTCTGCTCCCAACCATTCTGAGAATGGGTTCCAGAACCCATTGGCAGTCCATTTCCTTAACGGTTCACAGCCCAACGCCCCCATTATTTGCTGGGAATAAGGATGTTTATAGATACAGGTGGAATTCCCAAAGTAACACTGCCCACACAAGTTTTTTTCTTTTACTCTTACTTTTTGGTTTTCACAAAATTCTTTGGGAATCTTGGGTAATTTAATATTTTATTTATTGAAAAATTTTATAAGCTTTTCAAAATTTAAAGCTTTGAAATGTGCTTCGTTGGAAATATTCCATTATAATACTTGTGTACTACAGATTTATTGCTATAAAAAGTGATTTTGAGCGTATCATTCTGCTATAGGAGTAAACTAGACATATAAACTTCAACATCTTTCAAAGTACGTTAAAAAAACTCGTTTAAAATGCTACTTTCAATCACCACTCAACCATCAAACGAAAATTGGCGGAGAATCTCAAGACGCACACAATTTGTCCAGTGCTGTAACAAATTACACTGGGAAGTCTTTTACATGGTGTTAATTCGACGTTAAATTTCAGCCATTGCCTCTGTGCTCAATTCCAATGCCGAAAACAGTCAAGGGGACTGGAATTATGCATTTCGCAAAAGCGCTGATTGGCGCTCTGTTGATCGCAGTGTCGACAAACGCGCAAAATTTCCGTCTTCCGCTGAACGTCATCCCGTCGCACTACGACATCGAAGTGCAAGTGAAATTAGACCCAGCTGAAGATTTCACTTTCAGTGGAATCGTCAGCATTAACTTCACCTGCGTCGAGGCCACCGACACTGTCGTCATTCACAACTACAATCTGACTGTCGACGAGGCGAACGTTGTTCTTCAGGCAAGGGTCAACTTTTTTTAGTGACATTTTTCTTGGGCCATATACGACACGAAGAAATGCTTTTCGAAACTTGAAATTTGTGGTGGGAACTGAAATTATTACTCCCGCCTTGAACCTAAAAATTTATTTCTAAAATGTGTTCAATTTTATTTGAAATTGAAAATTTTCACCGCTGTTTCATTACAGGATGAATCAGGAACATCAGTGGGGATTGATCGCCATGAATACGAGTGGGATTATGCCAAATTTCAGACAATTTTTCTCACCGAATCTTTAGTGGCTGGGCATGATTACAGATTGACCATACCTTATTCTGGTTTTCTGGGGAATTCCCGACATGGATTTTTTTATAGGTCCTATCGAGGTGCCTCTGGAGAATTGGAGTGAGTATAATGATGAATGAATCATGACTTTTGATGCGATTCAATGAGAAAATTTAGTTCTCTGAGTTTAGAAGAACATCTTCACCCATGTATACTCCCATTATTGTAATGCAATAATGAATTAGTCTCGGACGAATTTGATTCACTTAATTGACGTCTTTCAATGTATGAACAGTTTGAAAACTTCAGAAAAATTTGACTCATTCGCATATGGAAACCATCCAGAACGCAGTGCTGTGGAATTGATATTAGATTTTCTTCCAAAATAAGGAAGTCTTTGTCCAAATTTTGAACATTTGAAGGGTTGAATCTTTTTGCCCACCTTTTGTCACAAGGGTTGTCCAAATACTATGCGTTGTTGAATGCATGTAACTTTTTTTTTTTAATCTCAACACTCAACAGTTATTAATGGTAGACATTTGAACAATCTCGATTTTTTCGAAGATCAATGTATATTTCTTTAAAATGCTGATGTCCTTTTTCAGTACACAGCATGAAACAAAGTGAAAACTTTCGGATTGTGATCAGAATGTAATTAATTTCACACAGAATGCTGAAAAGTTGTCAAGACATTTGAAAATTAAGAATTCTTAAAGTATCTGCATATTTTTCAAATCTTTTGAAATGTTACTAATGTATATCATTAGGAAGTTTTTAAAAAATATGAAAATGTTGGGTTGCAATGGCAAGGGGTTCACTTACACTTGTGTAGTAAAAAAATCCAAAGTTTTTGGGGAAAACTATGATATATGCAGAAGTAAAAAAAAAAAAGGGATCTGGGTGTTTTCTCTTTTTCAGATATTTTGCAGGGACTCACCTTGAGCCAACATCTAGCAGAGCTTTGTATCCCTGCTTTGATGAGCCTGGACTGAAAGCAACCTTCAGCATCACAGTTGGTCATACAAACAAGTACCAAGCTTTCACAAACATGCCTTTGACTAGTAGTGCTGTGGAGTGAGTTGAAATTTTTTTTTGTACTGCCACACTGATTTGCTTTGCTTTGTTCCCCCAGGGTTCAATTGTGAACACCAGTTCTCGAATTTGTCACGTGCAGAAAAATTGCATGACTTAATTAATCCTTGGGTGGTAGCAGGAAAATTTCCCTTGCACAACAGTGAAAGGCAATTTTCAATTTGGTTTGACATAAGGTCACCAAAACACAGCTTTGGCTTAGCAGCCAAAGTCAGGAAAAATCCCAAAGAGCAAAAACCCTTTTCTTAAAAATCACTTATGCTAATCCCAAGGCCCTCCTGATATTCTTTCTCTATGATTAAATGTCATTGAGTGGATTTGGGTTGGGTGGGAAGGGGGTTTGGTAGTGGAAATCTTGATTGAACCTTGTGAACCCTGAAAAGCAGCAAATGAAGTGTTCTGTTCATTCATTCATTCATTCATTCATTCATTTCTCCATATATACAATCCCAAATTTCTTGATTGATAAATATGCTTTATTCACTGCTTTTTTCAGCATTCACAAGCTTCAAAACGCTCTTACAGGTACGCTTCTTGCTTTATTTCCAGCCCTGATCCTCCTAATATCATTTGGGACTACCACGAAACCACGGTGGTCATGTCCCCCTACCTCGTAGCAATAATTGTCGGAGACTTCACCAGAGTGCCGACCAGTGACCCGAGACAATTCATCCTGGTGAGAGACGAGGTCACCAACTTGACCGGAGATGCAGCTGTTTTCGCTCCCGCAATCCTCAACGAAATGGAGACCAGGTGATGAATAAATAATGCAACTCAGGGTCCCCGAAAGAAATCCAAGAATTCTAATATCTCAACCTTTATTTTTACGTACTGCCATTGAATTTTTGGCTAGATTGTCGACTCCGTTCCCATTGCCGAAGCTCGACCATGCGGGACTCGTGGGTTTCAGTGGCGGTATGGAAAACTATGGACTCATATTTTATAAGTGAGTGTCAAACATTTTGGGAGCGGTTAGAAACATGTAATCCCTTTTTGATCGATATGATATTCAGTGAAGACGAAGTAGCCAGATCTGACGGCTCAGCGTCGTTGACTTTGATGGCACATGAAACGTCTCACATGTGGACTGGAAATTTGGTGACGTGTCAGTGGTGGGACGTCGCGTGGCTGAACGAGGGAATGACCCATTTCTTCACGTACTTCATCGCTGAAAAAGTGAAGTTTCTTATTCACGAATTAACATGATAAAAATCCCTTCTTCCACATGAACGACATCTTGAAAATTGAAAGGAGCTCAAAAGAATACGAAGACATAATTACAATTTTGATGTGCAGTGGATTTTTTCGTTTTTCGGGTGCAGATTGACCGAAAGTTCCCATACTTTGACAAATTGGGAACCGAGATGATGGATAAAGCAATGGGCTACGATTTCAAACCCTCAGCATTGCCGATGGTTATACCTATCATCCAGCCAAATGATATTTCGAATGCTTTCGGTGGTGACTTGATTTATAAACGAGGTAAGAAAAAGAAATATTTGCATCTTGAATTCAGTCTTACACTTTTGTTAATAGTGCATACATTTAATTGTTTTGCTTTTTCCTCCCTGTGTCAATGAATTTATAGCCAGAAGGCCTCCAGAAAATTTAAGACATTTAGATGTAAGTACTATACCAGGGAAAGGCTTTAATTCCACAAAGGAAGGTTTTTACTGCATTGTTTCTAATGCAATTCAGGCATGTACCTTAGGAAAGTTTTATGTAGGAAGGTACTTTTTGACTTAGGATTAGCAGAGTTATTTATTGAGGATCAAATGAAAAATGTTACGAGCATAATCCGATTCTCAGACATTTTTTTTCTATTTGGATTTTCTCCAGGATCATTGCAAACATTTACCATAACTGAAACATTGATATTTTCCTAATTCAATTTGATGGAGTTTTCCCAGCATACAACAACACTCTTGAAAGTAAATTCTTGGTGGTAAAAAAGGTTTCAAGCTACCTTGTTATAATAATCTCATGAAATCAATTTTCCCAAGAAAGCTCAGTTTTCTGCCTGGCCCCATACAGACAAACAATTTCTTCACTAGGTCTCAAATGTTTCCTGACACAGGAGGTCTGTTATGCAGGCGGCCACTGTATTACGAATATTTTCCCAGGTTCCTGGGAGCTCATTGTAACACAATTTCACTGTAATCTACTTTGGCACATTCAAGGTGGTAATATTGGCAGAATGATGTACTATCTGCTTGGAGAAGAAGTCTTAATAGAAGGCATGAAGAACTACTTTGCGGACAACCAGTTTAAATCAGTCACAGAAGAACATCTTTTCACTGCTTTGAATAATGCTGCTGAAGCTGCAGGACTTGAACTGGAATATTCAGTGTCTGAATTGATCAGTCCATTCACAAATCAGGCTGGATACCCTTTGGTGAATGTCACTAATACTGGGGTCAAGGAGGATGGAAAATCCGTTTACAAAGTTTCCCAGGTGAATAAATTAGCATCTATTGAAAAAATACAGCATAGAAACTTTCGTAATTTCACCATGACAATATATATAATTCCTTGCAGTGAAAGAATTTTCTTTGGCTTATCAATTGCAAGAAAATAACAATATTTGGCATAACAGTAGAATTTTACTACATGAAAGATCCCAGTCACTCAGTGAGATGAGTCATTTAATTTAAAATATGAAAACAAGATTTGTACTTTGTATTAAGGACCATGATCAATTGCTCTTCATGGTTACAGGTGTACCTTGATAACTCAAACCTCCCTAAGTCAAATATACCCCAAGTTGAATATTTTTAAGGTCCCCATTTAAATCCGCTTAGAAAGAAAAGATTGAAAACCTTTCTAAGTCAAAAGCATTTCCCCCTCAAACCTCCATAAGTCAAATTTTCTGTGGCCTGTTCTCCAGTATTTTCTTAAAAAAAAAGAAAAAAGCAATAAAAAAAATGTATGGGTTTTAAAGGAAGTGAAGGACTTAATTGCTGGGCAAATGAACACCTGCATGCCTCCAAGTTCAGCAGCCTTTCAACTCATTCAAGAAGCCATTCAAGACCCAAAATATCACCATTTAAATTTTTTCTTAACTATCCCAAAAAGAGGGCTTTCTTGTGCAGTTCCAACCTGTGAAATTAAAAACCTTTCTGAGTCAAATATTTTCGCAGGTCCCTTGAAATTCGTCTGAGAGAGGTTCAACTAGGAGGTAGATAACTGTTAAGCAGGGAGAAAATAGTGCCACATAAATTTACTTATGTACCTCAGTATGTGAATAAATGGGTAATTTATGGATATTGCGAAGACGATTCCTGGTTCAGCGAGGACTTGCAAACGGGATGACCACAATAAAAAATCATTCTGAGTATAAAGTACAGAATTGACAAAGGGTATTTTCAGAGACGATTCTTGAATTCAACGATGAACAAACACAATGACGACACCTTGTGGCCGATTGTGTTGACCTGGGCAACGTCTTCAAATCCTAACTTCGATGACAAAACCCCGAAGGCGTATCTGACAGAAACGTCGACGACAGTGACGATCGACGGTGACGACGATTGGGTCCTGTTCAACAACGAACGTTCTTGCTACTACAGAGTAAGTACAGTATACTTTCATTTCTGTGCTTTACATATTGAGAAAACTGGTGGGTTTTCTTGATTTTTTGTGATTATACATTTTTTCCCTCTCGTCTGTATTTAAAGTCTCTGTTCAAATTAAGCACATGGTTAAAGAAGTTGAGCCGAGATTGAGCAAATTATTTTCATTTAGCAATCTACAAATGCTGATTGCTTGGCTTTTAATGCTGTCATGGGTCCATAGGATCCCAGACAAAGGAATTTAATTGTGCAGCCATCAGAATGCAAGTTTTGAATAAGAACTGAAACTCTTTTTCAGAGGAGTTCATTCTCATTGCCCAGTTCATCAATTGGCTGTTGAATCAATTGTTTTAATGGCAGAGTCAATGGTTAGCTCAGAATATTGAATGAGGAAATTAAAGTTAAAAGGCCCTTTAATATTTGCTTCTGAATTTTTCCTCTCAAAGAGGAATGCAGGTTTTTATAGCCAGGTGCTTGGACTGGGTCAGGAAGAAATCAGGTGATTTTTTCCTGGCTCAGCATTGGCTGATTTCAATGAAATCCAAGTAGTAATGACCACTTCTTGTCCTTGAGTGAGTCTCAGTGAGTCTGGCAAAAACAGGATTTTTGCAAGGCTCACTGGCCTCAGAAATCCAACAAGTTTTCGGGTCTGGTTTCAACTGGATGCTGGAGCTGCATTGCTTTGGTATGCAACAACTGCAGGCCAATTTTAAAGAAAATTCCCTGACATTCAGTTGGACTCAGGAATTTACTTGGAGGCCAGGAAAACAAAGGAAGTTCTACCCAAAAATTTTTTTTCAATTCCATCTGAGCAAATGTTATTTTCTTCCAAGTCAGATGTGAAAAACAAGAAGAATATTCTACTGCTGATTTTATTTTATTGACTCACAAGAAAACACTTGGTTAATGAAGAATACGTTGCGTAAAACTTGCAGGTGAATTATGACAACTATGATGCAAAAGAATATGTTCATTTTTTGATGAACATATTTTTAAAATCCGTCATTTTAAAATTGCAGGTAAACTACGACACTGTGACATGGAACAAAATCTTGGATGCACTGAAAGTCTCAAGAAAAACATTCCCAAATACGAATGTTGCTGCTATTATATCAGACGGATTGCAATTGTGTCGTCTGAACCTAGTTGATCCTGACGTATGCAAAAGATTCCCGGAGAAATTGAGGAACGAGAGAAGTTTGATCGTCTGGCTGACCGCTGCCAAAAATTTGCACACGGCAATCGCGAACGCTGCAGACACGACGGCAGAATTGGTATTTTATGCGAAATTCGTGATCAAGCAAACACAATACCAAAAACGATAAAGTATCTAAAGAAAAACTTGCCTATCAAATCAAAATAAAATCTGAATTCAATTCTTTTTCACAATGAGCTCAGCCAAATTGTTCATCATGCTAAATATTCATACAGTACAACAGATTTGTGTTCGAAAATATTTTTCTGCAACGCACGTGATGTAATTGCAGCACTGAATGGAGGAATATTTATGAAAAAAATATATTTATAATGAGTGAAAGATTTATATGACTAAAAGACCCTGTTTTTTTTTACTAAGACTCGAATCAAGAAAATTGTGAAAAAAGCTGAATTCAATGTCATGAGAAGCAGAGAAGTAATGACTCCTGAACACGAAAGTCTTTTGGATCTCCTGAGGAACTTCTCGAAGCACCTGGAAGGACCAAATGCGACCAGATCATAGTAACTATATTTAAATCACATTTAGTTTTTGCATTTATCGTGAGACATTTTTAAATTTTTTTTTATATTGTATAGCATCTCGTCACATGAAGCGTTCTGGGACAAAATCTTCGAAGACAAGGAGCAAGACCTGAAAATGCAATTCTCTCATCATAAAATAGGCACAGTGGAGGCTTCGAAATTAATGCGCTGATTTTATTGTCGTCATCTGAGCCAAAAAAAAAATAAAACAAGCTGCAGAAATGGAGATCTAAGAGGTTTACTTCCATGTTTTCAGAAAAATATCTGGGTGCAGTTCTCATTCAACCAACCCAAAACCGTTCTTCAGGATTCTGCTTCAGAATTTGCATGTACAGTATATGAGGTACAAAAAATAGTGGAACAGAATGTAATTCCGAGTTTCTATAGTACGAATCTTAACAGATGCTCTATACTGTATATCGTATGTCATCCAGGACACGAAAATCACAAAGACAAGCTCTCCCAATGTATCATCCTTTTTCAAACTGAAAAATGCCAATTTTTCCCTTTTCAAAAATATTTATTCATACTTTTTATGCTGAATTACCCTTTTCTCTTCGATGGAGAGAAACCATATTGTTTAAATTTTGCTCAACATAATGGGGTTTGCAAAACAAGTATGCACATTCCTCGCATCATAGTTTTGATCATTCATATCGGCAGGGTTAGGCTTAAAAACCTCCTCATTGATGGAAGAAAATGAGGAAATCAATAGAAAATAATAATATTACGGACCCAAACATTGATTAATGTTTGGAAAACTTTTCTACATCAGAACATCACCGCACCTGAAATAGCTTCCAGAGGTTTTTAAAAATGCTTATCGAAAAATGTGTTTTCGTTTCGTTCCGTAGCTTTCATTCTTTTTTCGTTCGCTTTCGTGACAACTCAGGAGATGAAAAATGTTTGTCAAAATAATTCAATCTTTTCAAATTTTGAGGATCAGGTTTTCAGTGCTCTTCCTCTATCTAAAAATTTTATCCTGCCATTTTCGGAGCTGAAAAACCCGTGAAACCCAGAATAAAAAATTTTAAAAGGATGCATAGTTCCTTATTCACAATATGTGGATTTTGAGAGGTATGCATGAATGCATAAGTTTTCTCAGGATTTTTGAAGTCGCCTGAGGACATTTCCACGACTTGTGATGGTGATGAGAAAACTCGAACAGTCTTGGCCGAGAATCGTTGCTTCGTATCACTTAGGTTTAAGAGAACGAGCTGGAAAGAAAACTTGTGAACAACAGTTTGTCTCTTAAAAACGTTTTCAATGAACAGAATGATTCATATTTTTTCTGAACAAACCCATCATGCACTTGTTATTTTAGTCTCCTGGAAATTTGAGTAATTTTTTCAGAACATGGATGAACATTTGAACAGTCAGATAAATGCCATATATCTGTGTAGTTGTGGAAGTAATCAACCCAACATAAAGAATTGAACCATGAATTCATGCAGTAATTCTGCCTGTTTTAGAAAGGCGCCAAACAAATTAACAACTTAATCTCTCAACACATTTCTTGTGAGCCTGAGAACCCAACCCAGGTTCTTGGTTCACCTAAGGAAAATTTCCTCATCTCAAGGGAAGAATGAAAGTGGCCAAGTCTGGCCTTCAATCCAAATCCAAAATACCATAATGGTTGATCAAGAACACCAGTTTTGTCACTCTGCGTTGTGCCTTTGACCTGATCAGATCTCAGGAGAACTTGTTTGTGTGCAAATATGTTACCAATTCCAAAATTGGTTTCCACTCTTCAACTTCTTGCAAAAAGTACTTTAACTGTTTGATTCATACTTGTTTCATCTGTGTGAATATACCAATTCAAACTAGGACGATAAGTCCTGGCCTAAGCCCGGCTGTTCAAACCGTGTTCTCATTTATCTAATTTCACAAACTTTGCTCAAACCCTCATTTTTTATCATCTTTCAATTTGTGTTCACCTAGAACAATATTTTGATAACTTGAGTTTGAGATCTTCTTCCGTACAATCCAAATTCATTTTGCCTTTTTGTGGTGAAAAAAGTTTCTCTATTCCTTTTTCCCTCACACCATAGTGCAGTGGAAGAAATGGTAAGAAAAAATAAGGCAGGGCAATCAGCAGGTTTGCAGCAGGGACAATGTAATTCAGGGGTACCTTGATTACATATCCCCAGTTTTGTCTGGTTTAATGACAGTCCACAACAAATCACAATGGAAAAATGTGAAAATGATGTATCTGATTGAAAATACATGCACACTGTGGAAGGTATCATGGGTTTGCTGGTCACATTTCTGTGCCCAACTTATCCATGAAAAATAGCCCTGGAGAACAAGAGCTGCAATGGAAGCCCCAATGCAAATGCACAAAGGCATCTACCCTGCCCCCTGGCTACCCACAGACACCAAACATTTCCTGTACCAAAAATAGTCCCCAAGGAAATACTGTACCTTGAAAGTCACCACAGGAATAGACTTCTTTCTCTTTCTGGACCATGGCAAGATTTTTAGGTATTGCTTTGTCCACCAATGTGTGATTTTTCTTACTATTATTCCTATGAATGTTGAGTGAGCTGATTGGGTGGTTGTCTGGTTGGATGACTTCCTGCATCCTGGGTTTTTGTGTGCATGGGCATGATGATTTTTGTGTTACCTGCTGGTTTTTGCCTGGGTGGGTTATTATGGGCTCATTTATTTTCTTCTCTGTTCTATCTTGTATTTTTTCTTTTGCACTGATGTGGTTTGTCCTAATTTTAAGGTAATTTTTGGAAGGTTTTGGAGACAGCAGCTTACCGAGAAGAGTCAGGTGACAACTTTTTTCAAAGTTTTCATTCAAATTGTTTTTTTTACCATTTGATGACACTTAGGACTATGAAACATAACAACTACAGTATTTCAAAGAAAATTGAATGAGCTTTGGTTTGGTGTTTTTTTAATTGTTTTAACTTAATTTTCAATGGAGATATCCTAATTAAAAATTTGTTCTTTTTTTGGCCCACCCTGTTTGAACAGATGAAGCTTCATTTCATGGATGCCCAAAAATCCCAATATTTTTTGCTTTATGTGTAGCCCTCCGAAGAAAATTGCTGAAATAATATTATCCTATGAGAATGATGCCATTCGTTCCTATGGTCGATGTGCAAGTTAGCACAATCCTTATCAATAATCAGCTTTCTTCGTAAGTGTGTGCTGAAGTTCCCAATCTAGTTCTTATCAGGTTACACGACGTGCCAAAAATTGATGTCATCAACACACCGTCAGGCAACAGAGAAAAATGTTTACGTTAGTTTTTTTGATAATATCAAAGCGGGTCAAAATCAATGGAGAAAACGGCAGTTCGAATTTACTCTTCAAAACAAACAAAACTCATATTTTAGCCTGTATGAAAAACTTTTTCAGGTGAAAGATCAGTTTTTGATGACAAAATGAAACATCTTTTGGTAGTGATTTTTTGCTCTTTGTTCGGAGAGACGATTTCTCAAGAATTTCGTCTCCCAACCAAAATAATTCCTTCGCATTACGATGTCGACATCGTCGCTAAATTGGATCCAGACGAAAATTTCACCTTTTTTGGCACCGTCGATATTTTCTTCACGTGTGTCGAAGCCACGGATTCGATTATTCTGCACAATTGGCTTCTCCTCGTGGACGAAGCAAATGTTCTTCTCCAGGTGATTTCTGATTTTTCAATCGCATTTGAAGATTAGGGTTTAAAAAAATTGTTAGGTAACAGGATATTTTTTTGGTTTATGAGAAAAATATTATGATGAACTGCTGCGGCTTTAATTCACCAAATCATAGTCTTTAGTTGAGTGAATACACCTCGTGAAGTTATTTATTCTACATCCATTAGATCGGGTAAGATAAGATGGTTGTGCGTTTCAGAAATTCAAAAAATAGGGATTAAATGAACTCGGATGGGTTCAACAGAAACTTCCGGAGGTTTCCTAAATCGAATTAATTTCTTAATCTCCAAGAATTCATGTGATTCCAGCACTTGATTCCCAGAAATTTAGAACGAAACATCATCACGGGCTGGTTTTGGGTGGATTTTTTTTTTCAGGACCAATCAGGAAATCTGCTCAACATAGATCATCACGAATACGACTGGGATTACGCAGAATTCCAGAAAATATTTCTTGTCGATCCTCTGGAACTCGGAAACAACTACAAACTAACAATTCCCTACGCAGGAAACATGTCCTCGGTTCCTTCGGGGCTTTGGTATGGATCTTACGTTGGAGACCAAGGAAGTGTTGAGTATGTTAGAAAAGAAATCTTATTTGAAATTTCGTCATGAAGCATTATGTTTTTCTGGAAAATTGAAAAGGTATTTCGCTGGGACTCAACACGGAACTGTTTCGACCAGAGCCGTGTTTCCTTGCTTTGACGAGCCTGCTTTCAAAGCGACTTTCAGGATCAGTGTCGGTCATCATTCGAAATATTCCGCCTTTTCTAATATGCCATTGGTTGAAACAATTCCTCAGTGAGTATATATAGTATTGAAAAAAAAAATTCAACAAAATTTTTCGATGCTCAGATTCCAAATTTGATCGTGATTTTGAGAAGATATTCCTTTCATGATCCTTTTGTACCTTTTTCAGCCCAGATTTATCGGATTACGTGACGGATTACTTTGAAATTTCACCAGTAATGTCCACTTACATCGTGGCGATCGTTATTGGAGATTACACCAGAGTTCCAACTGATGATCCGAAGCAATTTGTGCTAGTCAGAGACGAAATCACTGGGTTAACTGGCGATGCTGTAAACTATGTTCCGGATATTCTTCGAGAAATGGAAGCCAGGTTTGAAAATTTTAGTTTCGCTGTTTTTTTAACAGAGAAAATTATTCGTTTATTCCTCAAATAAAATGAATAAAATCTTTGATCGATGCTGCAGTAATTTAGCTTGCGCTTTTTTTGCTCCTAGATTTACTAGTCTGAACATTTTATATCATGAAAGAACTTGTAAAATATGGAGTCTTGTCAAAATATCTTATAAATAGAAAGGAAATCGAACCAAGAGACTCGTTATTGAGACTGTTTGTAAACATCAATAAATACTTTTTCCACAATTGTTTTATAAACACGACGATGAGTTCCTTAAATGGTACTGCGAATTAAAATAATTTGAGACAACTGTGCGCTATTTCTGGTTTTAAAAAATTGTAACCGGAGAGATTGCTCAGACGAATGAGTTGAAGTAAGTGCTGATATAATTGAAATTTGCATTGATGAAATTGAGAATATAAATTTATGGATTACATCAAAATAAAATCAGTGTTATTTAGAATTCTGAAATGCTCATTGAGAACTTGGAAAAACTTCCCTAAGCTACAATGAGGGAAATCTAATGACAATTTTTCTATCCTTTTTTCAGATTCCTGATCCCTTATCCATTACCAAAGCTTGACCACGCTGGACTGATTGGTTTTGGCGGAGGGATGGAAAACTATGGGCTAATTCTCTACGTGTGAGCATATTCATTTTTACGACAGTGCAAAAAAAGCTGACAATAAGCAGATAGATTTTTTGGTCAAAAATGCACTTGGAAGATTATGAATAATTTTCTTATTAATTTTATGTGAGTGCATGAGAGAGTTTTTTAATAGATTCAAAGAAAGAGTTCTTGTTCTACTTTTACTGTTAGGTTAAAACTAAGACAACTAAGATATTAACTGAGGGACTGTTAAGAGTATTTATGTCCAAATACCTCCTGGATGTCCTTATAACCCTTTGATTGCAAAGAGAGGAATCACCAAACAAGTCAAGATAAAAAATATACAGATTTTTAATCAACTTTTTTTAGATAAGTGGAAAATCACAAAAACACAAGGAAGAAATATGTGGGGATCTAGACTCAAAGCTTTGACTCCTAGCATAGGACTGTGATGGTCAACTGATTTTTGGGAGGAAGAGCAGGGGTTTGTGTATTACTAGACTTGGTGGCTGGTTCTGGCCATGTGCTTTCTTTAAAGTACAGAAATGAAAGTAGATGGCAGAAAGGGGCCAAAAGTCTAGGCAGTAATGTTGGATATTACCTTCAGTATACCCTCAGATTTTATGGAAACTCTGTTGCAAGTTGGTATCAGGTGACTCAAGGTTGCATGCTTTGTTTATGATTGTCTCAAAGAAGGAAGCAGATAGCTGTGTCTGTTACTACACTCTAACTAAATTCTCTTCACTGCGAATACTGACCCATACATAGCAACCAGGATCCCCCATCCTCAGAACCCATCTGAACCTCGCGGGAGCAACAGCTTGCGCGGGGATACCCCTAAGTTCTTGTTCTACTTTTACTGTTAGGTTAAAACTAAGACAACTAAGATATTAACTGAGGGACTGTTAAGAGTATTTATGTCCAAATACCTCCTGGATGTCCTTATAACCCTTTGATTGCAAAGAGACGAATCGCCAAACAAGACAAGATAAACAAATGAAGACAGATTTTCAATCAACTCTTTTTTTAAATAATTGGAAAATCACAAAAACCCAAGGAAGAAATTTGTGGGGATCTAGACTCAAAGCTTTGACTCCTAGCATAGGACTGTGATGGTCAACTGACTTTTGGGAGGAAAAGCAGGGGTTTGTGTATTACTAGACTTGGTGGCTGGTTCTGGCCATGTGCTTACTTTAAAGTACAGAAATGAAAGTAGATGGCAGAAAGGGGCCAAAAGTCTAGGCAGTAATGTTGGATATTACCTTTAGTATACCCTCAGATTTTATGGAAACTCTGTTGCAAGTTGGTATCAGGTGACTCAAGGTTGCATGCTTTGTTTATGATTGTCTCAAAGAAGGAAGCAGATAGCTGTGTCTGGTTTATCACCAAGAAGCGGTAAAACATAATAGGATTCAAAACAAGAGTAAAAAGGGGAAAAGGCAGATATTATATAGATTTTATGGTTTAAATTCATTTCAGGGAGAATCTTTAAGAAGAAATGAAATACCAAAAGCAAGTGTAGAACTCATTTTGATGGTGGCTGAAATATTGTGAAATGATAGTTTCAATTTTTATTATAAATTGAGTCATCAATCCATTTATAGAATATGTCTGCATGTTGTCAGGGAGGATGGAATAGCTTCAGAAGAAGGGAAAGCCAACCTGGAGTTACTCACTCATGAAATTGCTCACATGTGGGCAGGCAACCTGGTGACTTGTGAGTGGTGGGATGTGAGTTGGCTCAATGAGGGCATGACTGAGTTCTTCACATTCCTCATTGCTGGATTTGTAAGTTATTTTGGTAGAAATCTTTAAAAACATTTCAATCACCTCCAATTCAACATCAATGCTTTCATATTGAGTTTTATATGCGCTTTTGAAAAAGTGCTAAGAATGGTGGACTCTCTCTCTCATCCTCTCTCTCTCCCTCTCTCTCTCACTCCCCCCTCTCTCTCTGTGCTGTGAACAATGATTTTCTCTTTGTAATGATTTTTTTGGTTCCGCAGGGTCCAATCTTCGTGGTACAGGAATTTTCTACAAAGAAATTATCTTTCCTACCATTTTTTCACACAAAATCTTTTCAGGAACAAAAAATAAGGACCATGATGTTTAGATGTTTCTAAATATTCTGTATCATTTAATTTTCTTGAAGGTTGATACTACTTATCCATATATGGATTTGTTGGCCACTCGCCTTATGGAAGTTGGAATGGACTATGATTCTGATTCTTCTGCTCTACCATTGGTTGTTCCGATCAATGAACCAGCAGATATTGATCAAAATGCATTCAATGGTCCACTGATTTATTATCGAGGTGAGTGAGGATAATACGATAAATTGTTGCCCTCAAATGGTGCAAAACCCTTCAATTCCTGGATTGAAAAAAAACGGTTAAATTCTCAAGCTTATTTTATTTTTACTTCAACGTTGGAAAAAACCTTGTAAAAATTGTAAATTTTTAAACACTGGAAGAATTTTCTTGAAATTGGGAAAAATAATTTTGTTTGTTTATCTTTTATTTGTGCGCATTATCCGCTCTCTAAGACCGATTTCAAAAATATTTAATAGGAAGTACCCTAATGGATTTCATTGTACGTCTTTAATACGTCATCATAAGGCAACATTCTAAATCTAAAAATTTTAATGACCATCTCTTTTTTTCAGCCGTATGAAAAATTTATGGAAATGAAAAATTGGATATGAGGATTTTCACCTATAGAGATTGATTGTTAAAGTGATGCTCTGGTATGGAGTTCTTTAAAACTCCTGATATAATGTAGACTCATGCTTATGAAAGGAGGAGGTATAGATGATTGATTATAGATAAAGGAGTACATTGTATGAATTCATCAGACACTTCCTTCTTTTTGAGAAAATAAATTATGTTAGATCCAATATTAGAATACAGGGGTATACATCATTTAATGAACATAAGTTTTCCATGAGCTATTATTTTCATTGCAAAAGTTGTTTTTCATTTGAATCATGTTTTGAAAAATAATAAACTTCCTTGTGTGTATAAAGAAACAAATTTTTCTTACTTTAGATTTTCTTTGCATAGCATTACAGTATTGAGTGAACAAAGTGCTCCAAAAGTGCTCATTCTACTGAATTTTTGTACATTAGTTTATGGGGACTTTGCCCAAGGCCTGGATAAGGCACCACTGAACCTGTGGTGATTATATTTTCAAAGGTGGTGCAATTGGTGGTGTCATTTATCAGTTACTTGGGGACCAAGCATTCCTTGCAGGAATACAAACCTACTTTGCACAACACATGTTTCAAACAGTCAGAGAGGAGGACCTTTTCTTGGCACTAAATACTGCAGCAGAAGAAGCTGGACTTGGATTGGAATATTCAGTTGCAGACTTGATCAGTCCATTTACAAATCAGGCTGGAGTTCCCTTGGTGACAGTTACCAACACTGGGGTCAAGGAGAATGGGAAATCAGTTTATACTGTTTCCCAGGTGAGGAACTCCTGCATATAGTCTTCTAAAGGAAAATTGGCATGCAGGTAAACTCTCTCTATAACAAAATTCAATAAGGGACTAGAAGAAACACAATTCAGCATAAAGAGAATTTCAATGTAGGAGATAACCTCTAAAGCATTGGAAGAGAGCCCAATAATGGGAACACATCAATAAATTCTTTAAACAGAGAAAATAATTGTAAGCAAGTTTGTTGTAGAGAGCATCCACCTGTTCTTGGTTCTGATGACTAAATAAGATTTCACAATAAAATACAGTCAAATCAGCAAATAGATTTCATTTCAAGAGTTTTTTGAGTAAGGGATCAACCGTGTCTTTTCATAGAAAACATGTTTAAAAAATCACAGGAATATGAAACTGGTAATTTTTGCAGGCCTCAACCTGCTGGATATACATGAGATTACAGGATGCTAAACTTTGAAAAGGAAAAAAAGTATATTGTTGAATAAGTAATGTCACTTCTTCCAAAAACAATCTAATTAGATATATGTTGCACATCATTTCCATTTGACCCCGAAAAATCATACAAACAAAGGCATACAGAACAATTGAACGCATGCAGCAAGAGGTTCAAAGGGGAACGCTTTTATGACAAAAAGGTTTAGATACTGTGGCTCTGTTTTGGTTTTTAAAGGCAATCTGAGATGTCCATAGTAGATTTTCGACATAGTTGAGGAGGTTTTTGACTTGCAGAGGTTATATTTATCAATAAGGTTCAACATTTTCAATTGAATGAGTGCACATTTGAACTATACTATTTTACTCAACTGAATAATATTTTGTGGTCCTTTGTCATTTTTTCAAGTGTCCCAAACAGCCAAGAATAATTCTCTACTAAATTGAAACAGTCATGTGAGTGATGAGGTCCATCGTTGTACATGCTTCATTTAATGCTGAAAAAAATATGAATTTTAATTCAAGGGCTGAGGTTATGAACTTTGTGTAGTCATTTCTAATTGATTTTATATTAAATGTAAGCTAAAAGTAATTGTTCATCCCTTTGATGCCGTTGTCATGGTCCCTCTTTTGATACCTTTTTATTCAATATTTCTTTGAAAATCAATTTTTATGCAATTGAAATGGAGATTGGCATGCATGAAATGTATAAGGTGAATAATTAATTGCAGAGGCGACTCTTGAACGTGATGAATAATGAACACAATGACGACACTTTATGGCCTATAGTATTGACTTGGGCTACGTCATCAGCCCCAGATTTTGAGGACAAAACCCCAAAGGCATATTTGACGGAAGCGTCGATGACGGTGACGATTGCCGGTGACGACGATTGGGTCCTGTTCAACAACAAACGTTCGGGTTATTACAGGGTAAATATTTTACGCATAAAAAACATCAGGTATTATTTTTGGGTGTGAACATTTTTAATTACTAGCAAATGTTTGTGATTTCGCACGGGTGATTCATTGGAATATTGGGTAGCAGACATTTCAAAAGATGCCCTACAAAGAATCAAGTCAAGTAAAATAATAATAACGAAATTAATTTTAGTGAATCACACAGAATATTTCCTCCTTTTTACTTTTGGCCGCAAACTTTTTCGATAATAATTTTTCGCTTGGAATGTTTATATGGGAATAGATTTTTATATTCATGAAAACTATGAGAATCTGTAGTCGTTTGAATATGAAGGAAAGAGTGACTCGGTTTTGTATCAAAACGCTACATTTCGAAAATCGTGCACTCCATTGATTTCTGAAAAAAATGAACATTTTTAAAAAATATATCTTTGCATATGATTACATTTTTCGTAACGTGAGAAAGCCCTGTATTTTAAAACTGTTCACACACGAGTCCGAGCCTGAAGTATACCGTTTCTGTCAAGAATCTTATAAAGTTTTCTTCATTTCTGAAGAATTAGTCCTTTTTGCTGACCAAGATTTGAATTTAAAAGTGTGTGAACATTCTGAAACCATAAACATTGTAATAGGATATGTATAGGATGTACTTGTAAATACATCCTACAATTTTTTTCAGGTGAATTACGACACAGTAACGTGGACCAAGATCCTGGACGCGCTTGAAAATGCAGGAAATCCATTTCCGGACACTAATATTGCTGCAGTTATTTCGGATGCTCTGGAATTGTGTCTTCTGGGCTTAGTTGACCCTGATGTTTGTGACAGGATCCCGAACACACTGGGGAACCAGACAAGTTTATTCGTTTGGATTTCAGCTGTTAGAAATCTTCACAAGTCGATCGCAAGAGCTGCAGATGAAGTAGCTGAATTGGTAAAGATTTATGATCAATATTAGGAAGTAAATTTTTCGAAAAATAAGCCTCCAAACAAGTGATTCATCTTCATGAATACTGTAATAAAATCCTCACGTTCTCACGCGAATTATATAAAAAAAAACTAATGCGATGAGAGCGAAAATAACACTCAAGAAATTTGAAGAAGGCTCTCGAAGTTCTGATCAGTGATGCGGTATTTTCCGAAACAATTCAAAATCATTGTACATTAATTGGCATATCCACTTATTGCACAACCTGTTTCAATCTTAGAATCGAATCAAGGAAATCGTGAACAGAGCTGAATTCGACACCAGCATGAGAACCAGAAAAGAATCAATGCCTGATGATCAACACAAGAAGCTCTTGAACCTTCTGAAAGACTTCAAACATCACCTGGAAGGATCAAATGCAGCCAATACTTTGTAAATATTTCCAAATTCGTTCAATTTTCATCGGTTTCTGCTAAAATACTGTTTATACTTTTTGATTGTAATTTTTTTTAGAGAGACTTCAAACATCACCTGGAAGGATCAAATGCAGCCAATACTTTGTAAATATTTCCAAATTCGTTCAATTTTCATCGGTTTCTGCTAAAATACTGTTTATACTTTTTGATTGTAATTTTTTTTTCAATCCAGCATCTCGTTGGATGAAGAGCTCCGAAACAAACGCTTGCAACAACAGCAGAAGGACATGATCAGACGAATTTCTCATGATGAGCACTCATAAAAACCTTTGGAATTGATGCGTTTCAACAGTAAATGTTTTAATGTTATGCACGCTATTGAAAATCATTCAGCCAGGCGTTTTCTTGTAGATATATAACAAGGAAATTTTGATCAATACATATACACCTTCAAATTGGGTCTCAGTCATTTTCCTTTGTTATTGGCTGTTTCTGGCTTATAAATAAAACGAAACTTCATCAAGAGTAACATGCATCAACTTCGTGTAAAGTTTAGCAGAAGTTTGAAATCGCTCGCATGAGCGATCACTTCATTTTTTAATGATTCGAACAAAAATGACCAGACGTATACCAAGAATTGAGATCATTCACTATCACTTGTTCCATCAGTTCCATATGCCTAAAGTTATTCGTTGCAAATCTTCCGTCCTCCAGATTCATCCTGGAATGTTTCGAAAATTTGATAAGGTCGCTTTCGGAATCATGCCAACCCAAAAAACGACCAAGTTGGAAAATTTCCGGCAGGAGGAAGAATTCTATGGAAAGATTTGCTCACGTCTTAATTCGTTTGACCTTTTCCCCAGATTGAAATGCTAATTCATTGTTCTCTGATGCCTTTCTTTTCTCTGCTGGCTTTACACCATGATGTTCAACCGTTGCCCTTGGACTATTGCCGAAAAGTGAAATTGGCGAAAGTCCACCCACCCAAGGTCCCTCTCTTCATTGTTATGGGCTATGAAGGTTCGAGGTACAGGAGAGGTGCTCAGTATATATAAACCTCCAGGGTTAGTAACTACTTCAGTTCATGGGGTTTTTTTTTTACCTTATTCTGTGAAGTATTTTATGACCTGGGTGAATCTTACTTGTCTCATTGATGATGCTGGAAATTATTTTTTTCTTCTTGGAGGTGTTCCCTTTTTGAAATGTGTTTAATTATTCCAAATCGCGGAACGTGTTCTCCTGGTAAAAATTGTGCGGAAAGTTTGCTTTTTCATTATTTTCAACGTGCCTTCAACTTACAAACCTGCTGGTTCAAGCTAATTTGAAAGGTTTTGATTCCTTATCATTTTATTAAGTAGATAATTCAGAGGATGAATATTGTTCAGGGGTTCACAAACCTGAATACATTGGGAATTCCGAAGTCTGGCTAGTATTACTGGATAATGTATATGCAAGGTTATATTATTACGAAATTTTTTCCCCAGCTCCATCTTTCCTTTTGCAGATATACGCTAATTTAAAAACTGCGAAAAGTGTGCATGGGATACAGCAATTGATAGAGTAGTTTCAGACAACATGCAGTGGAGACTCTTTAATGGGAAACGGATGGTTCAAAAATTGCATTGCTTTTTTGGATTCAC